TATAGCTCAATGGATCGCTGAGGTGCGCAAACCGTCACACCACGGTAAGGTCCAGTCTCTTCGTGACGGGCGATCGATGTAAGTACTGAATGCCGCCGCATCCGTATTAGCATGATCTTTCTGCGTCAGACCGATAGCGCATATAAGTTTCCGAAATGCCCATTCATTCACTACAACTCTCAGATTATCGTTTTGGAAAGAATGATCGACGGCGGGATTTCTGTGTTTGGTTGGCATCGTATTTTAATTCACCATTCTGTAGTCAAATACAAATACTCAAACCACGTGAAAACTTCCAATGCTTGCACCTTCCAATAAAAAATTTCATTCCCAGTTCAGAGATATGGAAAATACACACCACAACAGACAAGTAGAATCTATTCCTTCTAGGTTATATTTCCTGACAATACCAGATTTTCTGTCTGCTGATTGCATAGTTATATACTCAAGCGCCAAAATCGACTCCAATTATAGTCGGAGATCGCAGTGCGGTTACGTGTTACACCTCTCTGGTAACGTCTTGATTCGTTTTGAGAATGTAACCCCAATGAACTACAGATCATTTAGTGTGTGGTCCTGTGTCAAAGTTTTGCGTGGTAGTGTGTTCCAAAATGAATTAATTCTGGGACAAACTGACCCTGAGTTGCAAGGGATAAATTATTGCGATATGATTCTGCATATGACAGCTTGTTTATGGTGAATCCCATCATGGCACGCACTTTTGTACTAAAGACACAATGCCCAATGAAGACCTCATGAACGCAACACAAACCTGGCTCATGACTTAGCCGGAAGTGACCTGCATCATTGCTACACCACTAGAACCATGTCTTGTTGGTCCAGTCGGGTCGGAATTAACGGGCATCATTATTAAGATCGATAGGACAGATGACATGACATAGCTAATTTCTGGACAATGCACAGGCCGGTGCCGTTCCCGTCCTCCGCCTATTGGATAAGCAGCTGATTTGTTAGCTGGCGCAAAATGTGACTTTGTCTGTCGCTCAATGACTTGAAAGTGTTAGTACGAATTGTCCAACAAATGACGCAACAACGCTGTGCTCAAGACGGAGCTACCCTCAACCAACTGGAATAAATTGTGGTTGCGGTGAGTGAGTCACGATGAAACACCACGACTAAAAGCCGTAAAAGGTGGATAGACTTTTACTGGATTTCGTTGTCCGTGATTTTGGTAAATCAAAAAGTCTACATCGATTCTACTTCAGTAAACATAAAAATGACCGGAAATGTTGATTGCATCATATGTAGAAAGTCGTTTCAGTGTATCAAAAGGCTGGAATTCCGCAGTGCTAAACAAGTCCATCATATATTCGGTATATTTCTATATTCCCTGAATTCTAAACCCGAACTGCGTAGAAACAATTACATAGGATTATTGCGTTTGGTAAAACGGAACTGCACCCAAAACTAAGCAAAAAAATTGACAAGAAAATTCGCTCCTCATTGTTCATTGTTTGTGCAGAGTCATAATTGAGCTGATCACGGAAGAACAACAAAGAGGCATGCGAAACGATATACTTCCGCTTCACGTTCGTCTGCAAGCTGGAGGACCGGTTTTAGTGAAAAATTACTCAAAGGACAAGGTCAATCGACAAGAGTACAACCATCGCATGGGTATGCAACAAAACTTGGCATTTGAGCTATGCATCTATGCACTAGAAGAAGGCTACGAGGTGAGTTTTCTTTTTTTGCCGGAAAGGAAGTTGAACTGCCACCAGCTGTTGCATAGAAATGGCTGATGAATTTATATTGCTTTTTCATATTCTGAAAAGCGACTAAGATGGACATACGGTTTCACTCCTAAATTGTCTCAGAGCACTACATGGAACGTTGTTCTATTATAAAAATTCTTTGGTATGCATATATCAATAAATCTGGCGAGGACTTGAACGACAAAACTGCACACTATCTTCGCGTGGACATAGTAAAATCACCTCCAAGATGAAATTTCATGTGGTCGTCAATCTTCTGATGTCCAACTCTACCTCAAACCCGTGCGGCGGTTTGAGTAAGACACTGATGTTCACCAGGTTGAGAGGATTTTGTATCGCATTTGCGGCCTCTTACGGTAATCGCTCTATTCCAGTGTTCAGGCATCATCATCATCATCATTGTCAGCTTTAATAACCGCATACTCGTCGTACAGTGGTTGCATCTGCCGCAGTTTCGTTCAGGCATCTAATTAATGGATGCATTGAAGAGAACCGTCATCAATAATGAACGTAGTCAAAAAATATAATCAGTGGCATGAGAGTCTGGGCGTTTGCTTACACATTCCAGCCGATTAGAAATAATGCCATCCTTTCGGTTTAGCAACAACCAAGAATTGTATTTTACGTCTGTTTAGCTCAGTGCTGAAAACTACGAGATAGATTCATTATGTACACTCATCCAAAGCGAAACGCGCAAAACAGCTATAGATGTGCAATTATAATGCTGCTTACGAACTGTATATAACTCTAAACCAACTAGACCAAGCAACGTACCCAAGGCAGTTCCAGAATGACAATTAGGTCTTTCCGAGCTCCAAGGACAGGGGTAAGACGACCAACTGCTATGGCCTTTCGGAAATCCGAACTTTGTGGCCGCTTCTTCGTGCTAAGACCAGGAATGATGAGTGCATTTTAACTGTTCACTGAGTCAATTAGATGCCTATTTACCGACTATTTGACCTTATATTCATACAAACTCGTGTTATGTTCAGCTGGCGTGGTAACTAATTTTCTGAGGGCTTGCTCGTGTGCTCGCATTTGAAAAATCCCCTCACTCATTGCAACATACTTATCAAACAAGACCGCAAGTGTATGCTAAAATCGGCATTTTGATTGGTAGCAGTGGCATAACACTGTTTAAGAGTTTTGTTCGGCTGTTGTCTTGTTGTCAATATGTCATAGATCAGTTAACTCGAGTAGGACAGAGCTCACCCCCTTATCCTTTGGTGTGATGACTGACTTGGTTCCGTATGGCTGTTCTTTTGGTTTTCACTCATTTAGTGGCCTCTATGTCGATCAGTTTTCTGTCACATTATATCAGCTTGCTCAAAGTTCACTTTAGCTGGATTACATCTCGATAGCTACACTGAAACCGGCGTTTCTTTTCGAACACAAAAGAATAACAAAAGACGGTGCAAAAGTCTATGCACTTTCTTACTAAGTGATATTGTTCTAGCTCAACTAACCTTTATTCGTGTTATGAGTGACCGAAACATTCAACTGATTAGTGTTCTAAGCAAACAGTAATATATTAAATAATCAAACGTAGTTCCTAAGCGTAGTATTAAATAAATAGTATTAAATAATCAAACGTAGTTCCTAAGCGAAGGCTAGAAAATTTTTGACAACATTTTTGTTCTACTTTGAAGACTAGTCTTCGAATCTAGGCGGATGCATGTGTACAATTGAGCGCACAAATCCACCGTATGTCTTTTGTTTTACTGCACCTTAGATCAAGCTAAATGGCGAAACAGTCTGTATGCAGAAACACGTCGTCAGGTTGGAGGATGTTGCCGCAATCACAATGGATGGAGATGCCGACTTCACCAGCATTGAATTCAAGGACACTTCTGGTGAAGACGCTGAAGGAATTTATGATGTAGAAGAACCACAATTAGGGTATATGCGCGTCCAAGAAATGCGCGACAGCTTCTCACGCAAACCTGCTACCCCGATTGTTGTGAGATCAAGCGTTAGACGAAGTAAACGGTCGAATGAGGTTGCCTCACCAATGCCAATAGGCAAATCAGAGTGGAAGACTTCAAGTGATTTGTCCAAACCTACCATAGATATTGATACCGTTTCGAGAGCAGCGCGTGATTCCACCAGTGCCTACATGACGCATAATGCCGGGGTCAACGCTTCGTCCGACGGCTACAGAACATCAACGGTTGACTTATCACCCAAGTCAAAGAAACGATCTACTGTGCTACCTACCATTGGGAGTCGGAAATCCATCAATCTAGATGAATCGAAACTAGAGGAATATGCAGTTGTTGGTGGATCCCAAAGTCGAACAATCGCGGGTGATTCCCATGGAGGGGCCTACCGGTTACTGGATGATGAAACCATGCCTGTCTCAAGACCTTCGATTCAAAGCTTGCGTGGCACCAGTTTGAGTGCGTCTGCAGCTAGTCTGCAAGAAAAGAAGAAAAAACGGGGTTCTATTTTTGGAAGATTCCGGAAATCCAAGGGATCCGAGCCGGATTTATCTGCGGTTGAAACGGAAAAGAAGAAAAAAGGGTCAAGAAGTCTCCTGAGAACAAAAAAAGGTATCTCGAACTACCTGGAGAATAAAATGTCTTCGAGTTAGAGTCCAGTCCTAGTGAAAGCCAGGTGGTGCACTCGCATTCATATTTTCTCTAATCGCCGTTTTAACGCCGTTTTCATCCGTGCATACTAATACCAACCTCAGTAGGTACGAACGTAGGCAAAATATTTGTACTCATCAGCCAAGCACACCATGACATGTTATCTGTAAAACGTGATGAGATTCAAGCATTCCATTACGCTGGCTGTCTTTCACACGTAACTGGTGCTTAATACGCTTGTGTAGGAATGAGTGAGCCTATCCATAATCATCAACGTCATAATGTGAACGTTTGTATGGCTGCTTGTGCATATGTTCGTGTCCGTAATTCGGTACACGTGTGTTTGTGTGAGAGGTACAGTGGGTTGTATTCCACTCATGTATCTTCTCATTTTCACTGTGCCAAATGCGACATCAATGCATACAAGCTGAGCAAAAGGAAGTGTATCTTGCTTGTGATGAGACTAGGTGATTACCAAGCAGCTCGACAACAGTTAGCTCCAGGAGTTTGGAGAGGCCTGTTGTTTCAATTTCAACCGGGTGGATAACTCGAGTCTCGCTCTTATGAGCTCTCTTTGGTGATGCCCAAACTACATAAACGGAAACGTAAGTACATTCATCATTCTTAACAAAACTTCGTATGGGTTTTGTGGACTGCTCCTTCGTTAGATTTTCCATTAACCAGTGATTAGTATGAATATGGCCAGTGATTCAAGTTCCTATTTAATTAGTTTGATTTATTAAAACCATTCAGTTTGCTTTTAGACTGTTATCATTAAAGATGGATGGCATCCAACTGGAGTAAATATTCTATAGTTCTGGTTAAATAGCTGATAAAGCTATTGATGGAGACAAAATGACGGTGTATTATCGCTGAGATAGTATCCAGTCTTATTTGTATTTGGGGTTCTGCGGTCTGAAAACTCTCTGGGTCACTGACGGTTGGCGTAGATCTATAGACAATTCAGGGTGACCCGAATTCCAAACAGGCTAATTTACTCAGCTGTACTGAATTTGTTTGGCACCATCAATTCGTTCCCCTCCCCCTCATCCTGTAGAGCTACAAACCCCAGGAAAAGGAAGTTCGATCACATCATATAGGTTGGTTGATGTGAAGACTAACCGTTGGTCTCACTCACATACAGCAGATATGTGCGCAGTCTTTGAATGATGTCTTTTCGTCTCAGTTCGAAATGTTTTTTACCCGGTCACAATGGTTTCTATATAATGGGTGAAGCGAAGTTTCGTGCGCACTTCTAAAAAAGCTAAATTTAGAAATCCTCTTGGGGTTTGTCGGCGCTCGTCACCTAAACATCAGGTATGAAGGCATTGTTTAATGGGCAGAAGTAAGAAGTCATTTAAGTCGATGTTCACCACAAATTTTTGCAACAATGGCTTAAAAACGTGTTATCAACTGGGAATCAGATGAGCTTTGCAACGGAACGCTAGCTGGTTAGTGATAAAGTAAACGGGCGAACGTAGCACCTGTAAGTGAGTAGCAGTGCGCAGTATATTCCCATTAAAGATGCTAATGGTGATTTCTGGGGTGCGTGATGAAACTGAACTGTGTTAAATCGCCAACTGAAAATGAGTCGCTTCCCGCAAATTGACCTAAATTAAAAGTTTAGGTGTTTTATGTATGTCTCGATATTATACACATTGATATATAATCAGCTTCTGGTGCACTGCTAACCTTGCTATCGCAAGTCATTTGCTACTCAGCCTAGTAGTTTTTAAGCTGCGGCGTGAATATGCATGGAAAGCAAAGACTTCAGTCAAAGAATATCTCCAGCACCACAATTGCTGTTGTTAAGTCGTGTATTGAGCGATCCAAATCATCGTCCGCCAAAAAAGAGCATTGTTTTCCGTGCCCAGTTAGGAGTGGCACGTGTCAGCTTTCGACGGGGCAAAGGGTGTGTGAAATTTGAGTGTGGTCAGGACAACTCGTCTCTTGGGATGAAATTTACGTGATTCCCATTGTTTACCGTTGAAGAAACTAGAAGCTATGACCGCTAATCGATATCAGTGGCGCTCTCATTGTCATCTTATGTCCATATTGTTTGACTGAGTGTCTGAAGGTTCAGGCACCTCGGAATGACGGCGAAACGTTGGTACTAGATTCCTTCCATCTGCTTCTATTCCTTTATTCACATTAATAAATATTAATGCGACAAAACATTGGTTTTGAACACTGATTCTGAGATATGGACGACGATGGAGCATGGGAGACTCCGTGTCAGCTATGACGATGCTTGCATATCTGGATCTCGAGTCACTCCCTTGACTTCCCATTAGTACTTTCAGGCATATCAGGTTGGATTGGTTGGATATTTCCTATTATCATGGAGAGTCTCACTTTTCCTCCGACTTGTTAGGGAATCCGATCGATATAGACTTTGAGTGTCCTCAAGGGTATTTAGTTCTGGATGTATTCTGCAATTCCGTCGCTCTGATAGGACTTGATAAAATTGGCCTCCCTATATCTACCTGTATAACCCGAAACGATTCACCGCTCTAATCTGGCCGCCATACTTTGACAGTGATCTGTCTTTGAAGGTTTGCAGACCACTGCAGAAATGGATTCACATTGTCGTTATAGTCAGATGTCTTATGGAAATTGTGAATTATCGACATTTTTTTCAGGCAGGTTAAAGTCCTCTGGAGGGAGGCTTTATAAAAGTTTCCCAAGTAATAAATGTGAGCACTTTATTTTGTCACCTATAGCTGATGCACGACAAACAGTGTTGCGTTTGGGAGCAGTGATCCATGGTTCTTCTGGCGTTAACAGATATGGAAAAATCAATTATGGACACGATCACCTATATTAACTAAGATATGCTGTGTTGGAGTTGTATGCGGAAAACTAGCAGTAATTAGGATACACTTTGGGAAGACGCAGTCAATAAAACACACAAGTAATTATGTATGAAGATATGAGCAGAAAGAGAAAGCTGAATGTACTAGGCCCCAACCAACACCACAAGGTGCCTCCATGCTGGTTGTTTAGACATCGCACAAACGAAAGCACAACAGCAAGAACACGGACATTTGAATAGGGAGACAGGCAGGGCTTTCTGTAGGATTCCTGTAGAACCTCACCAATTTTTAATATATTACGTTCAGTATCATATAAGTCTCCAATTTTTTTCTTTTCATCAGGTGTTACTTCCGTTTCGGCGAATGATGTGCGTATGTCAGCCTCGTTCACAGACATGCCTACGACTGCCTCTGGTTCTGTCTTCGGACAATCTAGCACCATGAGTTTGCGGCCAAACTATTTGGGGGTTGGGGCAGACCTAGCTCCGGTGCCAGGACCAATACCAAAGAGTGCGTCCAAATTGTCTGCACCTGAAATGGCGGCGTACGTGGCAGGACAGAAAGCGGTGCCGGAATTCGAGGCGTTCATGCTAACGAATGGAGTCGATCCAGCTTCTTACACACATTTAAACGACGAGAGAAGCTTGCAAAGTAATTGACGTTTTTTTAGCTGAAGGCTCTTTACTCCGATGAGTTTTCTTCATTTGGTCCTGTGCTCTGAAAAAAGAACTGGAACCCATACCTTATAGGTGAAAAACTTACCAAATATCTATACAACTCCACCAAGCTGTGATATAATTTCTCGATGATTTTAGCTCGCATCTCTGCCATTTTCAACATCAACCAGCAATGGTATTCCCCAGTTCACATATAAGAAGATAGCAGTCTTTAGAGGAATCATCCGGAGGACTGAGTTGGTTCCCCTTAGAGTGAATTTCGTATACCACTGTCGGTGATGCAGCATGAAAAAATTTGATTGTTTTGACCGAATTCACGATTGATGTCTCGTGCACCCGATGGGCGTGTACAAAATGTATGGTGATTTGGCTGCACGGCAATAAAAGAAGTCCAGGGCTAGGTAAATTATGCCCGGTCGACACGGCTTGTGTGAGGCAACAAAACAATAGATATTCGCTCTGCACTGGAATGACTGGAGGTCGAAATCCCGCCTGATTAACCCTGTTGTTTATTCACGTTCAGATCACGTTCAATTTGTTTTGAAGTTTGGCGCCGCTTAGATGTGATCCGTTGTTACCCAGTCTGCCTGAGACCGCATGCCAGTTGTTATACAGATATCATGAAAGATGACTATCCCCATCAGCCCAGTCGCCAATACCCTCCTTGCGCCAGGCCCAGTGAGAATCATCAACATAGTAACTGTGAGGCAAGATGGTGATTGCTGTATAAAAATCGCTGTATTATAAATCTGCCCGTACTGCCAACTTGACAACCGTAAGGAACCCTCCACTCATTAATATTTAAAGACTTATTTTCCGTATCTTCTGTATGGCATCGGTCTTGTCCTAGTTTGCTGCCAACCAGGAACGCCAACTCCTCAGCTAACGAAGAGAAAACCTGCACGTTTGTGGCAACGGGAAATTAAATCACACCGTATGAAGCATAAGGGTGTCGCAAAAATCGCGTTTTTTGTGCACGCTAAGGGCAGTTGAGAATGCAACAACCTGATCGACGTCATCACATCTAATGCTACATTAGAGTGACATACAGAAACTCATCCTCCTCTAACTGAGTCCTCGTGTCACAAAACTTGAGTTATAAATCGATCACTTGAAGACAAGGTGAGGAATGTATAACTATAAAGATGCAAGGTGCCGACCTTTATGAAGAGATACCACTGCTAACAATAAATGCAGAAGGGCAGAATATTCATCTGTGCAGTGAACACATCCGGGATATAATCATCTTAAAATAGTATGAATTGCTTTCCTAATGGATGTAAGCCTCCCAGAACGGAACTCCCAGAGCAATTAGCTCACGATTCGGACCGAAGGCGAATGGGGAGCAATGACTGCTTTTATCGGCCAATGCAAAGTATACAACCAAATAGATCGCCGCAACATAATTCTTCATACCCACACTTCTTGTTTCATTATCGGATGGAGCCTGAAGTTCTTCTCTGATGACTCCAAAAGAAACAGCTTATCAGAATAAACAACGACAAACGGGCCTGTTAAATCATTCAGCAGACAGAAGCTATCAAACTCAACCAAAAACTGGGAGTACGTATTCACCTACATCTTCATCATCATCGTCATCATCATCATCATCAAGGACAGCAACATCAGTGTTGATACTGACGCTTCACCACCGGAATGCTGACAAACGAATGCCTACAGATGGTATAGCTTTTAGGTATAAACCTTGTGAAACTGTACAGACAAACAAAAAATCGCATGAAACGGATATGCACGTCACAATGGGCAACACTCTCGAGAAGGCTACTGTTAGTACAACAGACCCCAACACCCCTCAACATCGTACGAATCATGAATACAGAATTTGCGGCGCAGACGTTCCGGACGAATACACTGGCGTAACATCCAGACAACTAGAGCATGAGAATACCCTAAAGTGGTGTCTGACTCCCACTCTAGAACCATACAGAAGGGATGAAGGATCAACTTGACTATGTCACTTCAGTGGGCCCAATTGAGCAGGAATATCACAATGAATTTGCTAACGCGTGCATTCGTCAGGACAGTGCCCGGGAGCCGGGAATGAACACGCGTCCAGTGGAACCGGTTTTCTCACATTCGGAGTTGCTCCGGCGACAGCCAGCCAGACACCCGCGGACGATATTTTGGCCATCAATCTCATGTGACCCCAAAGGACGCTTGGGCCATCAATCTCATGTGACCCCAAAGGACGCACGCATGTGTCGACTGACGTTGTTAGACACATTGGTATACACAGACAGAAGGACACAACACCCAAGAAGTCGTTCACACCATAAGTAGGAGCTAAGGTCAAGGTTGAACAAGTCGTGAAAAGCTATCTTTCTTTAGATGTTCCAAAGCACATGACAAGCTTGACTGTCAGTGTCCGAAACATTTGAGACGATAATGCTGCCATCGAATGGACGCTGACCTGTTCATCGAGCAAGGCTACTAACCTACATACCTTTTCGTCACCATGCTCAGAGCCATGGTCACTGCGTGCCACCTGATCAGCAGGCGATAATTGTATTGCATTCGGTGTACACGCTTTCCCACGTCACACAGGGCGATGTTGACATGACCTGAAGTTACAAATTTCATTCTTTGTTCCCCTTTAAACATTTATGCTTAAATTCATACAAAGTGTGAATTACCTAGCCAAGGAGTGATTACCCGCTGAAGGAAACATATTGGGGTCCCATGGACAATAGGGACAATTAGGCGGTTTGTTTGTCTTGGTTACACATTTCGGAACTACATATTTTGATGATACTGTACTGCTGTCACAATTTCCATTTTAGCTTTCTCCAGGCCTTATCCTGAATCCCATACGATGACCGCAGGTCCAAGCCAAGTCGCTCCTATTATGCGAGCATCTGAAGGACCAGTGTACTTGAATGTCGGTGTAGATCGTGCCTCTGTTCCAGGTCCGGTTCCAAAGAGCGTCGCGAAAGCAGCAGCTCCGGAAATCGCTGGATATGTTGCTGGTCAGAAAGCGATTCCTGAATTCGAAAACTTTACCATAATAGGACCAGTGTCGGCTGCCTCGGTAGGAAGTGTAATGGCGTATGATCAACCAACTCAAAGAATGTCAGCGGCACCCACTGTACCAACTACAACACGTAAGCTAAAAGGAAACGCTCCTGAAAACGCAGACATTTTGTATGATTCTGGTCGAGCAAGCTTTGACCCCAACGTGAACCTCACTGGTGGAGCACCAGAGCCAGTCCCGCGAGGAATAGAGTCTAGGTACATGGAAAATGACCTGCAAAGGGCAACAAAACCGCCAAAGCTGAAAGGAAGCGCACCGCAAATGGCCTCAGCTGTCCAAAGCTACTATCAGAACGTCGCACCAGGGGATTCGAATCTTGTTGACCTAAAAGCAACTGATTTTCGTCCAACATCCGGTTCTGTGGTTGCTCCATTAGGTCCTCCACAGTATTCGGAATCCAAACCAGCCAAACTTAAGGGACCAGCCCCTGAGCTTGCAGCCAAACTAGAAGACAAGTATCATGGAAGAATGGGGCATCTACCCGAAACCACACTAGCAGGAGATGTCTCAACACAGAAGCCCAGAAGCTCTATGGTACAAAGACCGGTTTATGACGTTGATAATGTAATTTCCAAACCGAAGTACAATATGAACCCTGTCATACAAAAACCGGTTTACCAAGAACCTGTTCGTTCTGCATCAGTTCCCTATCCCAGCTATTCCAGAGATGAAGATACCGAGAGCGCTATCCATTCCGATGGAGAATACGTTCTTACTGTGGGAAGAAGTGATTACTATTATGAAAGAAAAAGATCCCTCAGAAATTACCGATCTAGGCGCTCGCGGGCCAAAGAACGAGAGACTCGTGCCTCCATGGGATTCCCGAACCGCATCGATTCCGCCGGAAGTAGTATTTCCTCCCTTACGGAGAGCGAATTGATGCTATGCAGAAAGAGCCGACCCTTCATGTCCCAACAAGGTAATTTGAGTCTCGGTTGAATAATAATAATAATATGCTATGGCTCTTTACAAAGCTTAGTATGCACCATGCTTATATTAGCAATTTACCCGGAAAAATTGAAAAATTCTCCTGTCCCTATCACAAGACAAAATGAAGAAACCACGCATTTTTCATGCTGCATTCCTTAACGGTTAAAGTAGCTAGACTAGTTCAGTAGGTGATAAAACATAGATCAAATCGGGAATTTAGGTTTTCCTTATTGGAATGAACGGTTTCACAGAAGTATGGATGGGAAATAAGCAAAAAAACATGTGTTGCACATGTGTTGGTCATGCTGTACATGTCGGTGCATCCGACTCAAAGGAAGTCACAACATTCCAAAGTTTTTGTTTGGCCTCATAATGTTGATTCGATGTTTTGGCATGATTCTAAGGACTCGGAATAACATGGCAAACGTTTCCCCCATACAGTCGGATCTCGGGAAGACCGATTTTCGAACCCCTTCACAAAGGTCATATCTCGTGAGTTCGAAGTTGACCTGAATAACCTTGCAGCTCCTGAAAGTCGCGAACAACCGAGCGTAAATATATGTAACAAGTTTTCAAATTTTCGATGCATTGGAGTTGGACAGGAAAAGTGGGGCTTTCATTCGTGCACATTAACTGATGATTAGGCGTAAAATATGATACTTGGGTCACCGTAGAAGCAAGCTTAATTGTTTTTTCAATCTATACAGATTTCAGAGAGCGGCCTGTATATTCCACCAGGGCGAACATGTCCAAAGTGTATGCAGAACCTCCAACAATAAAATCTATACCTATTCCAACTACAAAGTCATACGTGGACGCTACTGAAGTAAGTTACAGTATTTTTCCTAATGGAATTGGGTTGGTCCGAATGCTAACTTTTGGAGGCAGAACGTTACCTTGAAACGCATTTGTTTGCTTTCTGCCTGGCTAATATTCAAGCGTGCGTGATTTAGTGGTAGTCGGTAGGTAGCATGTTTGCAGGCATTGGTAAAAGCGAGGTGACATTTCAACTCTTCCATAGGTGGAATGTCTTGAGGTTACAAACCATTACCAACAACTCCGGGCGTTGCACTCTCAGAACAGCTCACCAGGAATGTTTGGCCTATCTACGGGTATCTTTACAACACTAGCTACACTTCATTCACGAAGGACTCCGGAAAGGCGTTCTTCCACGCATTGTCATCTACCAGCCACCATTAGATGGTCTACAGTCTTTGGTACTAGGCAGACAGAAGAGTGAACGAAGGGAACAGGATATTTTAGCTTCAAATTAAAGTACTGAAATGTAATCACACAACGTAGTCGTAGGCGAATCCTTTTGTTCCCTCTGCCAAACTCCAAAGTGTTGCTTGATATAAATGAAAAGAAAAGTTTTTCTCCGTATGTTTTCCCAATGAAGCAATGAATCAGCATAATGATTTAACCCCATTTTTTCATTTCTTTTGTGAGCCAGACATTGCGCACCACGAAATATTTCTTCACATCAATAGATTTGGAAAAAACTTACTGTTCTCATAATTTATCTTCACTCCAGCTAAGAAATAACAAATTTGGAGCCAAATTCCCACTCACTCTTCGCTCTGGGCGTAGTGCACTTCTGACTGGTCACTTTTTGAATGAACTGCCCATACCGCAATCATGCACCATACGCCTATGGACAGACGAGATAACAGAAGTGGATTCGTTCTCGGCGATGACAGTCGAGGTGTGGTCTACCAGTTCAATGACAGTCTATGGTACAAAGAATAGCAACCCGACTTGTTTGGTATCCTGGAAGGGCGCGGACAACTCAACCAACTTGGACAGCCACAAAAACTTCGCTATTTGTATTCACGCAAGAGGACTGTACTCCGCTGTAGGTCAAACCTTGATGTCTGGTTGCTTTTGATCTGTAATCTGTTTAGCTGATTTTGCTGAGAATCACATGAAAGAATTCGGCTGACATCTGCACTACAGACTGGCCTATTTCGATCACTAATAGAAAAAAGGCCACAGGAAAACTTTCGACCACTGACTAAGCTATACACAATTTGTAGCCCCAGGGTGCGGAACGTTATGGAATCGTTTCACTTAAGTTTTCCCAATCAACATTTCTAACGAGGGAGATGAAACTACCTTAATTCTGGTCATTAGAATTTTCGGGGTCAAAACCCTGCACTAAGTTATCCAGCAAGTTGGGTTGTCTGTCTGAAGGCGTGTCCGAAACGGATATATTTTAGACCTTCGTATAGGTCGATAAAACAGCGAGAACTTGCAGCTTTTACACCAGAACCAAAGTAACCGAGCAATAAAATCAGATCGGTCCGGAAGAAATGGGTAGATATTTCCAAGCCCACAGTTAACTAGTTAGTATCACCCCAATATGCCCTTAGAGCGGCATTATGAAAGTACAGTTGGACAGGTGTATTACTTGTTGTTTCGGTTGGACAAATTCGTGACACGGGTTTAAACCATAGCACCACTACTCGCTGCCGTTAAGTGGATCTGACAAGTAAAGTCGGACTTTGCAAGGAGGGAGAATAAATAGGCAGTTATCTGCTCTTTCTATTCAGAAATCTGAATTAATAATCGGACTTTGTACAAAAGGTATTATTTAACTCAAATGATTTCAATCCATATTCGCCGCATATTCTTGATAGTTCAACAACAATAGTCAGCTGTCCAATCCACTCTCCTGACATGCTATTTCCTAGGTAAATACCACAGTTTTGATAGGTGTGTGAGCAAAGGCAGGAGAGGACAGTTTTTGATCTAAACACCCTTTTCGATAAATACACTAATTTGCAAAGCAATTTGGTTTTCACGGGAGACTCAACTGAATCTCTCGTTTATGATGTCCTCCAGCTAAATGTGCTGCACACAGGCCGTCTCATGATTTATTTGGCACGAAATTGATTTACAAATTAGTGTATTTCTCGAGAACAGTGCAGTTTGGGTACAAGTAGATCATAAGGTTGACGGAAACTTTTCGATACCTTTTCGATACTTATGATTTCACCATCAAACGAAAATTGTTTTCGCAGTCCTGTTGCCCAACAGCACTCCACAGTAATGTATAATGGGTCTAAGTATACCATGTCGAAAAGAAAATAACAGGTATGCTGAAGTCCAAAAGACGGAATCGAGCTCGATCCAAACCAGGGGACTCTGAACAGTTCATGTGCCAGAATGCTTTCTATTTGACGAAATTGTTTGCCGAAGAAACTACCTCCTATTTGGTAAACAAGTGACCAAGGACGGTTCATACAGACTAAACAGCTACTCAGCACATGCCGACCATTGAAAGAAGAACGGGACTAGCAAACTGCGTTCATTACGTATTTATCAGGCGGTTTATCACGTCAGGTGGACAGGGCATTTCAAACCCTAGTTTGAAGATTTTGCCGAAGGTTCTGTGACTAATAAGACAGATTTTTGGTCACGTCCAATAGTATGTATTGATGGGGTGTTACTGAGAGGGATGTAATGGATGTCCTGGCTTGTTTGAAGTAAGCTTCAGGTGGAAGCAGGATCCTATCGCAGGTCAGAACCTCATTCTGCGCTGATTTTATAATCATTTACGCGATTTTGCAATAGGAAACTGGTAATATCAAACTGCACACCCAAAGGGATTTTCTCTTAAATGGGGAATAACCCTATTTACCTGCCCATTTATAAAGTGTGCAAATGACTTGCTGATACAGTGCGTTGTTGCTGGTGGTGTGAATTGTGAAAAAGTCGGATGTAACTTGTTCAACTCAAATTAGATCGTTTGTGTCCCTTTTGGCTGCAGGTATCGATCAATGATTACGTCACACTGAAACTCCCAGAATCATTCAATCCTGTTCTTCTGAATCACTTGGAACTCGAAAGTTCCAAAAACGCTGAGCTAGATCTCTTTTCAGTCACTGATAATCTGGTAAGTTTTTTCCACATAACAGTTGTCTTTATAAGACTAATTTGTACTGCGCCATAACTACTATGCTATACTCGACTGTAATGTAACGCACCGTACCATTGTACTCTATGCTACGCTATGCTAGGCCAGTTCTATTTTATGTTCTTCGAGAGAATTTGTAAATTAAGAAAGCAACCGAACAGTTTTGGTGAACAAGAACTACCAAATATTATTAGGACTGGAGGTAAAAATCAAGAAGGCGTGCCATATAGAGATTCAGTCAATATTCGTCGAAATAGGTACAAAATGATACATATACAGTTGAACAACACTCTATTGATGGAACTCGAAAAACAAACATTGCTTGCCTGAAGTGGTTAAGTAGCAGCCCCAGGATTTTGCATTCAAACTTATAAAGTACAACCGAGCGTATCAAGCACAAAGGGTGGCAAGATAATCCAATCCTAGCCTAAAGGCAGACAGTTAAATCAAGCCGATCAGCGAGGCAGCATTTTTCCACTTCTCCCAAGGTTAACCAAAAAACTTAGCTGAATTTCATAGCTGAAAAGATCATTTGAAATTCTATGTCAACGAACAAGATGTAACAAAAAAGTGGTATGTTCAGGTGCATGAGCCAGAAAACAAAACATCTTAAGGGTGATAGCTAAAGGATCCTCCTTTTCTGTTCTTGCATGCACTCCCCTGCAACCCAGTTGAATCACTTACTTATGATGATTATAACGTCGGGTATGTCGTAGAGTAGACAATCCTTCTAAATAATAACGTTTACTTGAATTCCTCGGAGAAAGAGAGCAAAATGTTATGATTTTTCACTTTGGGTCTTGTATTGTGAAAATCGCATGAAAAAAGATCATTCTTGCATGAAGAGGCAGTGAGAGGTTGGAGACAGAAAGAGCAGAAACGGATGAACGTCCGAGTTTTGTCCTGAAACACGTCAGGTTCATGTTAGAGCCATCATCTTCTAGATGTCAGTTCACTTTCGGTGGCATAAAGGCCACACTTTCTCCTCAAATGTGTAATGTCTTTTCTGTCATCTGAAAGTCCAACATGCCCTGCGTTCCAGCGCAACTAATGTCCAGCAAACACGTTGTTATCGACCTCCCGGGTTGTTAGAAGATGCCAAAACGGCAAATGTAGAATTCAACTCATCCCTAGCCTCTCTTCTACCTTCCTTTCACTTTGAACGGCTCATTATGAAACATGGGGATAGAAAGCTAATGAGACAGAGTTTGAGACTTCAGTTAGTGTAGCTGTTTGTCCAGTGTGACGATGAAGCTCAGGGCAATGCATCCTCATACTGTAAAGCAACTCAACGTGCTAGTGCTTTTCCCCAAACGGCCCTGCTGGTGTAGCTGATATGTTATTATTGCCTGCGCCATATCAAAAAAAAAGTAACAAAGGAAACTTTCACCGATTGAAGTCAAACCAGCAAGCCAGGCAGCAACCTAACTCCCAACAGCAGAACCACATACTAAGTGAAAACAGCTGCTCACATTTGCTTACTAAATAGTTGGTCTCTGTGTGGTGTCAAGCGAGTCAAGTGATACAGTGTTGTGTTTTGCGCGTCTTGGTTCGTGTGGACCCTTCGAGCAACGAATCAACCGGGACAGGCCTAAATCAAATCTGGCTAGTGATAATCAGCTGAAACTTTCTTGGTGAGCATTTACCTACGCATGGAAGCCACCCATTAGAAAAATGGTACTATTCATCCCAACCCGATTAGACTAGTACTTGAAATGGCTATCGGTTTGCGTGGGCTGTATGTGATGGAACTTTAGCCTGATACTGCTTGGATTCTGCTGAAAGGCCACAATGACCAGTGTACTGTGTGTGTTGTGCACAATCCACCAACATCAGTGGGTGTAAAGTCCCTTCTGTGGTGATCCAGGGCATGGATAGCTGGTTCGCATATTTGCCTTACACTTTTTACATGATAAATCTTATCCGTCAGGGTTGTTCCACATTAACTAAGGTTTTGCCCCTACGCCGAAACAAAATGCTGTCCCAAACTGGATGGTTAATATTGGAAAGAATACAATGTCTATGGATGGACTCATATTGAAATGTCTTTTATCCACTCACAAATTTGGAAACGTCCTCAGATATAAAGAAGTCTCCATTAACGTTATTTGATCGAGCAGATTTTATCTGCATACTTACTTCAGGTTCGCAGCAATGCTGTTGGTTCTTGTCAAAAAGCTAACACCAAGATAGACCATATGTACTGCGGTTTAGTCTTCTTCAGTGAGATATTTTGAGATCTACTTTACTCGTTATTACTTCATCTTACCTTTATATGGTTTATCATAGGGATTTGTTGAAATGCATTTTGTAACACGTCTATACACTTGTTGATCATGAGTATATTTCTTACGTCAGAATGAAATGAAAGATTACTTTTCATCCCACGGTTTAGGTGCTGCCAATTGATTTGTTATTCCCCAAATATTCCAACCGAGCGGAGACGCAAATGGTTCTGCTGAAGACTCAGATGACAGCGGACACAAAATGGTGAGTGCCTCAACTAGTACATGTGTCTGCAAGTGGAATTTCCGCCTAGCTAGCTTGTCTTTGCCGGGGCACATAGGGAGGGAGACAAAGGTATGGATTATCTGCGTTAAACACGCATAGGTTTTGCTATTATGGAATTCACTGGCGATGCCTACAATCAAACTTCAGACAGTTGAAATGCAGGTTTAACGTGTGACCAACCCCGCAAACTGTCGCGTTTGAACCGAAACTTGTTCCGCTTGAGTGATATAGTTGAGCGATGACCCGCTGAACGTTCGTCTAATCACTCGCGAATGATAAGAAGGCAGTTTTTGGCTTGTTAGTTATTGGCTTTCGTCAATGTCCTTCATCTCCCGAGTGGAAACTGCGTTAAAATAGTGACAAGATCTTTCCGACCTCTTCAGGTGGACTTCCCTTGAGGATGTCAATTTCTGTTTGCAGCGTGTAGTCAATTTTTCACACAAACCAGAATATGGAGGTATTAAGCACCACTGCCACCAACGCGAACAATCCCACTAGTCGAATCTTGATATATTTTTTTCTACATTTCGTTTTCTAACTTGTGTTTTCTTTTATTAAACCAACACAAAGATGGGATGCAAATATAGAAAATAGCATTCAGATAACTTTGCTGGGAGATCTTTTGAATCCACTTCAAAGGAGTTTTTGACGCTGTACAGCATAGCTTAAGGATAGAAACATAAGATGGGAGATTGCTCCCAATTTCCGGCCAGTCCAGCGTTCGTTGTCAAACATGGTCCTGCCGACTTTTTGGTACTCGATAGATTATGCTGAACAATTCTACCGGACTGGTTAGCGGTTCTCATAGTTGACGTAGTGTATGCATAAAGAACTCAAGGGCCAATCATGGCTAATCCGTTTTGAGTCCAATTTGAAAGAAACTGACACACGGCAGGATGCACTTTCTTTGACACTTAGTCCGCCTCACCATGATAGTCAGAAGTTGAAATTTTAAAAAAATTTCGCTAGTCAATTAATGAAGTCAAGAGGCAAACAGAGGAAAGTATATCTTATTGAAACGACAGGATACAGATGGTCGCCGATTGCATATCAATAAAGCCACTGGTGATAGCACCTGAAAGTTATTTATTGGCCCCAATTGTTTTCAATTGGTAGGTGCTCCTTGATTGGGCGAACTCACGGATACATGTTTGATAAGGGATAGAAGGAGGAGTAAAGTTCATTGCGTCATGAAGTGAAATGAATTACCTCGTTATCGAAAGTTCGCAGGATATCATTATCTGTGGGCCCAATTCATTTTCGGAGGTCGCACATGCTTTTCTATAGCACAGAGTTATGGGTCACTTGACCGCTGTCTCTGAATGTTTGTTGGATGAAACATAGCGCAAATGAATCTTCATAACCTCTGGTCGTGACCTACGACGTCAAAGGACAAGGGAATATCCCTGGTACGATTAAGACCATTAACGATCTCAAGGGTCATCAGAACCTAAATACGTGACCCACAACTATGTGCCTAAGAGCAATTTTCTTGCACAAATTTTTTGGACAATAAATGACGATTAGATGGTTAGATTGTATTGTACCGGTTGATCGTCGTGAGACATCGCCTTCATGGCGAAAAATAGTCAGCAGAACTGCACGAAGGAAAGGCGTTACACTGTTGGAGAGCTGGTCGCATTTTTGAAGTGAAGTTTTTTGAGATTTTCAAAAAGCGTGCTTTCACGACGTCGTCGTCTAGTGACAGCTCTGCCCTAGCCATCTCCCAGAAACGTTGTAGTGGCACGCATCTCCGACAAGACTCTCGTAGTCGGTTGCCTGTCATTTGCCAAAATCCAGAAGCTCACTTTATAGCACCCATCGATACAACACTGTAAACATTACATCCTGCAAACTTTACGTAATTCGCCTGAAGCATGTCTCTAAGTTCTATGCCACACCATATTTACTTTAAGCCATATCAACACTCGGTTCCGTTCAGCCTGGAAGATCCATGTGACAGCCATTTTACGTCGTGGAAAATGAGGATTTTGTTGCTTTTCTTTCGTTGGTTTCAAAAAAATGGCCTTGACTATCCCCGTCCTGGTTCAAATGGTCGGACTCGATGAGACCGCAGTGGACTGTCTAGTAGCATCTTTATAGTGCAAAGTAGATCCGCCAGTTGCAGGGTTTATCTAATCTGCAAAATTCTGCAGAAAGCAGTGGAATTTATGACCACATATTGCCGTGTTTGGTCACTAGCGCGCCAATTGATACACTTGATTAACTGCTTCTTGTGTAGACCCATAACTGGCTGTGAGAACCCCGGGGTCCTGACTAATGCTGTGTTGACAACCTGTTGCGTCTGGAGCCCCTAAAGTATTGGATCAATCCAAAAACTGGCTTGTATCTACCAGTACATCCCAGTGATTTAAAGCACCGGTGGACGTTTCACTTGCAGTGATTAAAACCACTATCCAGTGCGGTCAATTGAATGACCGATCCTGAGCACAACCAGTGTTGGTATTCGGAAGGCTGTTTCTAAATAACCTTATGCGTACTACGTTCCGTCCGTGCACGAATTCTGTTTGCATTAAAAGAAGGCGTCATGAAATCTCTGCAGATGCATTCACAATAGAGTAGGTTTCTGAACACTTTCAATGGACCAGATTATAGCAAAGCGCAACCAAGCATACAATGACAATCATCATTTGCATAGCTTAACGAAATTGATTATTGATTGAATAAATTTAACTCAAGATATTTCGACTGCGCTAAACGACATGCACGAAGAACCAGTAGGCACAAAATATCGTGACAACGTGCATGTTGCACACCTGACCAGATAGCTTTATTTGGTTACATTTTGACATTGACCACATAGGCTACACGCAGACCACATTCCAGAGCAGAACTTATTCGCGCTTACCACACACGAAGACAGTGATATTTGCGAGACGCTCTTATCATTTGAATCCCTTAAGTTGGATGACCGTGAGAGTGACCAGGCCGATCAATAAATAAGACGGTAGGCTAGAGAAACTAGGTTTCTCTGGCAGATTGGTTGATGTGAGTTACCCGAATCCGCTATAGAGACGCCTTTTTCTCTTCAAAAGCATTTTTCTTCTGTTGCAAACGTGAATTAGTTTCTCGATTGTTACTGGCCAATAAAAATACTTAATTCAAATTTTCGTTTCAGCCAATAGTTGATTTGGTGTGATCATGATCTGATTAATGGTTAATCATCGGAATGTCTTATCTGGATCATCTTTGCCGATAAGCGTAGGTCCATACACCGGAACGTGTTTAAGGTTTCAAATCCCGTTGCAGGACAGTGTGTGAAGTCATCCATTTGGTACTCGAATGCGGGTGATGTTAAATGATTATCAAACAGTTGGGGGTAGTGCGTTTCCTGACAGAGGTCAACCAACCGAACTAAAATTAGCGCTTCTCACGGAACTTGGTTTGTAGCTACACTGTGGGGTTAATGGATAAACTTTTTTCTACCCCATAGTTCACCGGAGAACTTCGATAACAGTAGTTCCAACTGAAAACATTACCTAACTATCTGAAGAGGAATTATTCTCAGATGAATCTTCATTTTCACAACTCTCACTCCCATTATTAACTACATGCAGTGAAAGACAAAAATCGAGATAACTTGTTTCAATTAAAATAATGAGTAATTGCTAGTGTCCTCCTTTCTAGTCAGACAAATCGTCTTTCCCCCAGGTCTTCATTTTTACGCTAATGCTCAGGTGTTTAGAGCAGTAGGCCCCGTTAGACTCCCTATTAGACTTAAAAAAAACAGCAGAAACCAATTCGCTAACCTAACATTGCTCCGCATGACAGGTGCTTATTCCTCACAGTATCCGTGTCAGCTCCTTGGGTGAATCCAGGTTGCAGCCGGGGTATTCTGGGTTTGGAGAGTGAAAAAAAAACGCAGAAACCAATTCGCTAACCTAACATTGCTCCGCATGACAGGTGCTTATTCCTCACAGTATCCGTGTCAGCTCCTTGGGTGAATCCAGGTTGCAGCCGGGGTATTCTGGGTTTGGAGAGTGCACTGATACCGGACGGTTCGAGAAATACACACATAGGGAAACGTTTACTTAATGTTAGTCAGTGATCTAATTCTAAACTGTTATAATGCGTTCTTTCAAGTTTACAAAACTCGACGAATTCACGAGCACAAAACGTTCATCATAAAACCATATCAGGATTAAGAATTAAGCCAGTGTCGATGCAGATGCCACTGACAAAGTACCGAAACCACCTTCTTGGGTTGAATTGGAATTTTTTAATCACAAATTGGCCCGTTATATTTAGTTGATTATCCCTACTTCCAAGATACGAAGGCCCAACTCTATGTTGCTTTCTTTTATTCTATCAGCATTTTCTTCCAGGATAAAGTGTAGTTGTCTTTAGATTCAGCAGATTCTGCCTCCTATCTGCAACGCCGATACCAATAATGCTGACGGATCTTGGAAACATGTGTGGTCCAACGTTAGTGTCTTTCAGTATTCAGTGCATCCTGGAGAGTTCTTATACACATGGTCCGGATTAAAGCTACTAATTGTTATCCGTGGTTAAAAAAAGCTACATTCTCATTCCATTTGGGTTTTAAAGTTAGTTTTGGGGCTTCGGAGGTACTGAAGTGTTGATTTGCCGGCCGTACCAGCAAGACAATTGCAGAAGGTAATGGAAGGTAACAACCCTGATCCGGCTTATGATTCAGCCTGCTGGTGGCGGTATTGTGGTCTGAGTATGAATTCCATTCTCCTTCCAGTCATCCAGATGAATCGGCACCTCCTTCATCGGTGTACGATAACTTTCTGGAAGATTATTTTAAAACACTCACAGGGCCCATGTTCCAGATGATTGAATTTCATATATCAGCCGTGGTAACTGCTTACACGGATCCTTTACCGAGTACAGATATCACACACATAGGATGATCGGAACATCTGTAACGCTCAAGCGGTTGCTGCCCCAAATGGATCTTTTGCTTACAGCAACTAACTTGCAAACGGGTGATTCACTCGAAAATATTTAGTGTTTGACCAGCTCAAGACAGTGTTACGGGAGCTTGGGTTTCGCTAGGTGAAACAGTGTGCAAAAGCCCCACTGAACCCATTTGTCTTGCTAACTAATATTGCTGAGCCACACACACAACAAGCAACGGGTGCCTGAGCATTCCAGTATGTGGCAGGCGATAGATGGAGAAATTCGTACCACAATCATAAGCCTACTCGTGTGAACTTGCATGCACCGAGAACTCAGAAGCCAACGGTATTCATAGGTTCGTTGGTAGTACTCGCAAAACAAAGAATATAAACAACATAGTTCAGACTGGAGAGAAGTGCTCAGTAATTTGTGAAAACTATCACTTGCGTAGTATATGATGTGGCTGTCTCAAACCACTTGCGCTTTGTGTAACCTCCTGTATTAAACTCACACACCCTACCCAGTCGTTAGCTAAACATCAGACATACCACCCCCCCCCCCGAGGTTTTAGGTGATAAGAGAATGGGATCAGGTTCACTTCAGCCAGTTAGCTGTCCTACGAGTATGACTAACAAGTCTTTGTGTGTTCATGAAAATATTGGACCACTGGTAGAACAGCCGCAGTGGACTTGTCTGGTCTGCTTCCTCCCTCAGGTCAGTGCGGACGGAGCATACAATTATTTTTCCAATCAACAGAAGGTTATCACTTTAATCCACTCATCCCCATCAATTTTTCTTGACATTCCTGAATTAGACATAGTAGCACCCTCCTATTTGCTTACCACGAACCAATTCTAATTCATTTCGTATTGAAGCCAGATTCCCCGAGAGAAGTAGTTTCTGCGTTGCGCGAGGGTTTTATTTTGCATGCCCTCTGTCATTCTTAGGTAGATGTTTGATTATGTTCCCATAAAGTTATTTGCTTCAGTGAGTTATATAGTGTCTGTGTTACATAATTTTCTGCATTCATTCCTAGCTTATTTTGCTACAGGACAACAGTATCCAAAGAGACTTTGGCCTGCTCTAATTACCGCTTGCATGCTTCACTCAGTTCAGTACTCAAACGATCCCTTCTCAGAGCTGGTTAGATGAGCTATTCAAGGCTTCTAAGTAGATAAGCTTAGTCTACGACAACGCCTAAAATAGATTTCACGTTTTGCAACACAATGACCAAATTTCGCTTTGTGCCAATTTAATTTAGGGTCTTCCTTCCATGTGATTCTGCATGTACAATCATGCGGTTTAAACCAGTGGACTGGTGCACATGACAGACAAATGTTTGGTATGCTCCAGGGGCCGTAGTTTACACTAGCACACCTACTGATGTGGGAGTATCAGCACCAGATTCCAAGGGAATGGAAATCTTTGGACGAGGTTGAAAACCGATTTTAAGAATATTTCAGCTCGTGAGCAGTTCGGGAAGAATTCATGCTGGGTCCCTTGTAAACAACGTACGCTGATTTCATGTTTATAGTTCCACTCAGTGTAACCCGACCATTAACAGACACAATTCCTTCCGAGGGATTCTTGCACGACTTTCTTCTATTCAGCGAAGATTAGCTCATTGGTTGTCCCGAAGATGAACCATGTTTGTGAACCAGGTGCCATGAAGAACTGCTGCAATGATGGCTGTGTAGATGAAATTGGTTTCCGCGGAAGAAACGACTAAATCCGTCCTATGTTGGTTGGCGGAGCCTAAGGGGATAGTAAACGGACAGGGTTAGATACATCCAAGACTTAACGTGGAAACTATTGGTTTTTATTTTCAGAGTGAACAGAAAGAAGTATATCCCAACAAGAAAAAACGTTAATGTACTTCGCTTAGGTCAAAATAAGCTAGATTCTGTTTCGCGGAATTGGGCTAATCAAGTGACCAACCTACTGGCCGGACCATACTGTAAACGTTGCTGTGTACTCTACACCAATTTACACCTAATCTACGCCCATATGCGCCTAGGTACACCGGTTCCAAATTTTACCACCTCATTCCTGAGTTGACGGATGTCCCTTCAAGAAATAGGAAAAAATCGGATCATCCGAAAGCCTTCTTCCAAGTAGGAAAAAATGCGGTATACAGGTCTAAGACTGTTTTTTATACCCTTGACGGGATAATGGCAAGAGGTTTTCCCATGTCAGACCCAGCGTTCAGCTTTTCAACGTAATGACTGATTGAAAGGTGGCCCATTAACTCAGATACCATATAGGCGGTATATCGTACGGTCGAATGGGTTGGAGGATGTGCCAGTAAGAATGTGGGTCATCCCATAATTTTCATACACATGTGTTGCAAAGGTACTTGGCCGACAAGCACCGACCAATGTTGGCTGAAAAGATGGACATGTGCAGTTTCAAATGATAATTCCAGCACCTTCCGCGAAGCCGCTTCAGAGTTTGTCATGTTTCTGACAACCAGCACACAACTCCACGTAATGACGCCCACACACTGCACTGCTTTTCAAAGCAGCTCACCGACGCAGCATGGATCGGTGGTCTGATTATTCGTAGCTGTCCCGCGACGCCTCAGTTCATTCTAGTTTTTTTTACATNTCACCTCTGTGTGCAGGAATGCAGAAATGATTTGTTATCATCAAGCCCACAGTTGCTCATATTCAAGGATGCCTGTATATCGTATGGCTTTATTGGATTCGGGCACAGTGTGAACAATCACTTGCGAATTCAGTGGGCGTTGAAGCTTGCTAGTCACTGTACGAAACAATTCGTCTTTAAAAGATATAAAGCAATGAGAGATCTCCCAACTTATGTTCCATATTCCTTAAAAATTATCTCACCATATTCTCCGAATAACACGTTGTTTGGAGCTGTTCACATTGAGGAAGAACATGCACTCGAAGACCCTGGAGGAGGCTTTTTGAATATCGAAAGTAGGTAGGATACGTCGAGGAATTTACAGTCCGACATATGTGCACAAATATACACAAAAGTCTTTTGGTTTCTTTGTTGCAAGTGAAACATCTGTGTAATGTGTATACCTTCCGGTTCTACCGAATCCTGTTTGCAGATATTTTTGAAACTCACACTCAGCTTCATAGGGTGATAGAGTTTTGGAAACCGTGTTTTTTTATTTGAGTGTTATTTCGTTGAAACCTTAATAGTGGTTAGAATTGAATGAGGGAACAAAAGTAATTTACGTTTTTTTAATATTAATTAAGCACAACCAACGGCCTGTTATTTTTACGTCAAAAATTTGCAGAACCTGAAACGATGTTTTTCCAAAATCCCATTTCAGTGTGACAGTGACTTTTTCGACCCAGACGAACAAACTCTTCACAGTTGTGTTCGACTTTGAGCAATATCGTATCTCTGTGCAGCCAGCAGCAGAAGATGGACGGCCTGTTTCGTGGAAGGAGATCATATTCGTGCCAGAACAAATCCGTGAAATAGAGATTTGTCGATTTACGACAGAAAATAGCCTGTCGGCAAGTTTATTTGCTCAAAAAAGTCTTCCCGTTTGCTTTTTTTGGATGTGCACCCGATCACATAATTTGCGCTTGCCAACTACGTCAGACCACCAGGCTATATCCTTGAACATTCGTGAATAGAAGACATTACTGTTCAAACTGCACGGTTTAACTGCATTTGGTAGCGATAACAACAATTACTTTGATGACACAATACTATTTAGTTGGACAAGTAGGCGAGAATAGTTGAGTGTGACTTGCTATCAGAATAACTGCCTGAGAAACGTGGACGTTGACACCATCTTGTAAAGTTCCTCTAACTCATGGACTAGGTTTGGCATTCTCATCCGCGTTCCCCTCAAGCTACAAATGAAAAGAATTTGTGTATAGAAGAAAGCATGCAAGATTCCCACAAAATTATTCCACTGTAAGGTAGGCTTTTTGTAACATGAATCGCCATTGTTGAATAACCCAGTCATTTGTGTGGATTCCCATTTTTGGTGCCCAAACATTTACCCAAATAGCCGAAGTCACGCGTAGTTTAGATATGTGATGTCCGAACTGAATAGAGCGGGTAGTCCTCCTTCCTCGAATGTTTTCGCCTGCAAGCTTCTCATTCACCGGATAAATATTCAGGTACAGTTGATAGCTGAATAGTATATAACGTAAACATTTTACTGAAGCGATCTGGCGCCACAACCGCAATGGTATACAAGAAGTGCATGTTGACCTAGGTAAACTCTGTACAGGCTCAGATGGGCTCCAAGACTGGTCACAGAGCAGCTGCTTATCTGCACCCATGTCGCCGAGTCCATCGGGTAGCCATCCTGATGGTTAACAACAACAGCGTCCATATAGTGAGAATTAGGTTAGGTAATGACCAGGTCACCCAGATGGACCACCAAGGCTCTAGTGGCTCGAAAGTACGACAGGTTTCGTAAAGCATCTGAGTTGACTTTAAGCTCTAAGTTTCCACCTTTATGATAATGTCTTGATTGGAGGGGCATGTGCAATAGACTGTTCGACGGTATTACATGTATTCATCTTTTGTTGTTCCGCTGTATTGTGGACCCATTTACAGCACCCTTGTAAAACTGATAGGTAACCTTATTACACAAGGTAATTACGGGATTCAAATGAGATGCGCACCTGTCTAAGTCAGCGGTTAAAAAACGAAGGTAGTCATTGATGGAAAGATACCCACTGAATCTTGGTTAGTGATCAAAGGTAACCGCGGTACAGGTTTAATGCAGCGAAAAATCTTTCGGTTGAGCAAACTTAGACAAACTTGCCTCTAAACACTAGCCTACATGCCTCTAGTTGTTTCAGCAGTGTGAAGGGTGTAGCTTTCCACTTTACAAACTGTTTTTGTAATCGATGCCTGATACTATGGAATTTCTTTCAATCCAGTGCATCTGGGTGAACAAATGTGAGTCCTGAGGACCAAAACGTATTTTTTCTTCTCATGGAAACTTTCAAAGTCCAAAGATAGTGCAGTGGAATAAGATGTCATAATCCGACATTGCGGATGCAGTGGGCACCTGAGAGATTTCTACAATCAAGTCGTCTTGCTTCTTAGAACTGGAAGAAGGAATAATAGACCCATCTATAAACATAAGTATAGCAGGTGTTCAAGACTGGAAACTCGATTCTGTTGTTTTAGTTCAGCACACTGGACCAACAGAAATGAAATTGACGTTCAAAACTCGTGGACCTGAAATTGCAAAGAAATCATCTGATCATCAGTTAGAATGTTGTGAAAGTCACTCAAAATCCGCCGAAAGCGTACACGTATTCGAGTTTTTGTTGGGGATTCAAAGCACTTGGAAATGAAGCGAGAGTTAAACGAGACATTGGAGCTACTGTGACTTGAATCACCTTAATGAGAATGAGATAATAATCCAGTAGAATGCCACCCACCTTACTTCAAGATACTGAGCGGCGGAGACTCTAAACTTTAAAGAGAAATATGGCCAGTAGCGTAATGACCAGGTCACCCAGATGGACCACCAAGGCTCTAGTGGCTCGAAAGTACGACAGGTTTCGTAAAGCATCTGAGTTGACTTTAAGCTCTAAGTTTCCACCTTTATGATAATGTCTTGATTGGAGGGGCATGTGCAATAGACTGTTCGACGGTATTACATGTATTCATCTTTTGTTGTTCCGCTGTATTGTGGACCCATTTACAGCACCCTTGTAAAACTGATAGGTAACCTTATTACACAAGGTAATTACGGGATTCAAATGAGATGCGCACCTGTCTAAGTCAGCGGTTAAAAAACGAAGGTAGTCATTGATGGAAAGATACCCACTGAATCTTGGTTAGTGATCAAAGGTAACCGCGGTACAGGTTTAATGCAGCGAAAAATCTTTCGGTTGAGCAAACTTAGACAAACTTGCCTCTAAACACTAGCCTACATGCCTCTAGTTGTTTCAGCAGTGTGAAGGGTGTAGCTTTCCACTTTACAAACTGTTTTTGTAATCGATGCCTGATACTATGGAATTTCTTTCAATCCAGTGCATCTGGGTGAACAAATGTGAGTCCTGAGGACCAAAACGTATTTTTTCTTCTCATGGAAACTTTCAAAGTCCAAAGATAGTGCAGTGGAATAAGATGTCATAATCCGACATTGCGGATGCAGTGGGCACCTGAGAGATTTCTACAATCAAGTCGTCTTGCTTCTTAGAACTGGAAGAAGGAATAATAGACCCATCTATAAACATAAGTATAGCAGGTGTTCAAGACTGGAAACTCGATTCTGTTGTTTTAGTTCAGCACACTGGACCAACAGAAATGAAATTGACGTTCAAAAATCGTGGACCTGAAATTGCAAAGAAATCATCTGATCATCAGTTAGAATGTTGTGAAAGTCACTCAAAATCCGCCGAAAGCGTACACGTATTCGAGTTTTTGTTGGGGATTCAAAGCACTTGGAAATGAAGCGAGAGTTAAACGAGACATTGGAGCTACTGTGACTTGAATCACCTTAATGAGAATGAGATAATAATCCAGTAGAATGCCACCCACCTTACTTCAAGATACTGAGCGGCGGAGACTCTAAACTTTAAAGAGAAATATGGCCAGTAGCGGAACAACTATTCCAGAACAAAGAAACTGGTTGGAGGAATTAACGACCATTCTTTACTGAGAATAGGTTGCATTTCACTGAAACGTTTTGACCGTACTTCGGTCAGTCTTCTGTACACTACTTACGCAACTTCGGAGGTAGGCAGTACGTGACTCACGGCCTGTTTGGTTAAACTCCGGCAGTTGATTTAGAAACTCGTCAGGTCCAAAATCAGTGGCCTAAGGTAATAAAGAACTTTGATATAACAGTGAACTTGGACCTGAGAAGGGGTGAAGTATGGAATGGGTTGTTCGTTCTCTGGATCAGTTTTAAGACAGCATTGATTCAGAACACCCCACATTGCTCAACAGCTCTTGGTATAAAATGAAGTTTACTCGGCTACATAAACTCATTCCCTCCTGAAAAGGTCAGTGTTTATATTTGTCAGGTTGTTGGGTCTTACAGACCGGTATTGTGGCACAACCTGTTTGCGTTCCCAATGCGTTCCAGTTAAATTTGTGTTCTTCGTGACTTATATAATCAAGAAATTAGGTGGACATTTGAGCATTTCTTCTTACGCTGTTTCTGTAGTCAGACAGCGAACATTAAGGCGAACGAGAAACTAATTGTATGACAATGGCTAGGTTCACTAAGCTAAATATACGCGCTTTGCATGGCCCGCTTTTAACAGGATAGATGCAAACTAATTTGCTGAAGTGATCAAGTTTCTCAGTCTTCCGGAGATGCTGTGTTCACAGTTTACCGTCATCTCCATCAGTGTCATCACATCAGGATAGCCATCAGCTGTTGACTGAGGTAGGTAGGGATTGCTTCGATCTTGTTTAACCAATAAATAGAGAATTAGGATGACGGAACTGCACAATGAGACCAGTAGTCCAAAACACTGAGGTCTAACTCCACTTTTAACTCTGTACGGGTTGAGGCAAGTGATACAAGGGTCACATCAGGTCACACATGAGGGGATACCATAATGTATGAGAATGTATCATTCCTTCCAACGTCTGACCACTGGTATTTCAGAATCAGTGGGTAGGGAATTGTTCCGTTGATGCCCATCTAATCTCTTTATTTACTTTGATGTTCTTAATTATGAACACATACTTTTGATAGCAACATAATTTCCGTTTTTTTTACTCAAATCATTCAGGTGAGAGCCAATGCAACCGAAATGCTGAATCAACCGCTCCCTCTAACATGTCCTGCGGGTGACCTGAGCCGTATTCGCATTAATGGNCCCTATAGTTTCCCCTTCAGTTGCCTACTCTCCTTCAGGATGGCTTGTTCCCATGACCTAGTTTCGAGGATGAAACACATACATTGTGCCGCTTCTACAAGATTTCCAGCTTTCGACTATATTTAAGCCCTTGATCGGAAAACGCATCGTTTTCAAACTTGTTACTGTTTTATCAATAGCAGGCTTCATTAACGTCTTTGCTGGCTTCGGCGATATTTTATTCCAAATATGGTTTCCCTATTGATTTGTTGAAATGGAGAGAAAAATACGTACTTCACATTACATTATAGGCCCTCCTTCACCCCAATAGTCGATCCCCATAATAATATTACTATGCTGATTTCTGAACTACCTTGCTTCAACCTACACATATCGCTTCTTTGGCCTACCCGAGTTGTTTGTACACCACATACCCGTTTATCATGTGTTTTTTGAACTTGAGTTCGCTGAAAACCTTTCTCCATCGCCTTCAGAAGGGTTTGGATTTTGGGTACGTTCAAAATTGAAGGTAATATCAAAAACTGAGGTGGTTACAAATCGATGGGTAACAAATCGATTTGTAATCAGTCGAACTGAAACTGGTCTATGTTCACCCTTTGCCTGATTATAGTCGTTGACTAGCCACAACCTTTCGGCTGCGAACAGTCTCTTTCTGTCTTACTCATTGTGTTGAATCCATACCAGCTAGCCAATGAACACGTAAAAATTCGAAAAGACTTTCGATCAAATTTATGAGAACCAACTGATGCTTTGGTCACGTGTTGTGTAATACTAGAAGACGAAACATAAAGTTCCATAAATACGACTTGTTTGCAAAAGGTGATCGGTACGTCAACAGACTGAATAGTTAAGTAGATGTTGGGTGTGTAGAACGTGTGTCCACATTCGTCCGATCAGTCCACCTTCCGTCCCGACATGTGGATTGCGACTGGCATACATCGACTTATAACGATTCGGTCCCGTGTTCTGCACTTACTCATTCTGCCTATCAGTGTAAAAAACATTAGGTATGTGAAGCGAGCTGATTACCAATACCTCACCAGTGCATGTCAGAAACCCTACCTGCCACGTCTGAACAGACTAATGCGTTCACCACCTGAACTACGTGAGAAGTTTGCTTCAGGCCAGTAAATAACCTATGCATTTCAATTGATTGTTCCGGCTGTCAGATCTTCATAGTGGTGCTTAGAATCTTTCGGTGGGTTCAAAACCCGAACCAAACACTTTCCTCCAGATTAAAACGTCCGTAGCAGTGAGAAAACAAGAAGTTCGGACCAGTCGGCCGACGCAAACAGACCAGTCACACGGTCATTGTTTCCAAAGGTCCACAATTCAATCACAGCTTGCGCGTTACCATATTCGCCTGATCAGACACGACAACTTTGGAGCATGTGGCGTGTTGTGCCTTACTGATGGGATTGTGATAATATGTAAGCCCCATTTGTCATCTTTTTGGGATTTAGGTACTGACTAGGTTAGGTATATGAAATTTCGTTGAGAAATTAACGGAAACCACATTTTCCATACTGCCCAGAGAATAAATAGGATACAGACTGATAGGCTGTGATGTGCTTGCTGGATGGAACAGTAATTTGTACATGGGACGAATGAACATCTCCAACTTCCTTACTGGCCACAAACAGAGTAGTAAAACGAAAGTTGGCGGATTTGCGCGGTTTTCAATTCACGGCCAAATTGATAAAAAGTAAAACTTGAGGTGAAAACTTAAGCGTGTCGGTAGTTTTGGACATTGAACCGAAATTCAAACAGATCAGCTGTAGTTAGGTCATCTGCAGCAGCCAGCCATCAAGGTTACTCGATCTATCACCAGCCTTATTCGCAGAAACGATGAAGAAGCCTTCAGGAGTTCAGCAACTGAATTTATGTTCGCATAGTGACGACAGATCTTCAAAAATCATTCACTCATGCATTTCGTCCATATCAACGCATTCACTAGGTGTGGCCGGCAAAAACCATTCCTCGGGTTTTTCAAACGTAGCAAAAGAATGAAATAATTTCAATTGCACTTGGCACTCGTAAGTGAGCAGCTTTTGATAATCCTTGGTTTTGCACCTGAGTGTGTGGTGCAACAAAGGATGTTATTGATTTTCAGCTAAAGTAATGCAAATGGTGTCAGACGAACCTGTCAAAAAGGAACCATTACCATTCAGCCTGAAAAATAACTCCTGTTACTTCGAAGCTCACATATTTATTAAGTTGCCAAATGCAGCGGGAAGCAGATTGTAACGAAAACCCCAGTGAAGGTGAGATAATCTTGTGTTACATTATTTGATCTGATCCATGTTGTAACTCTGACATGTCCAAAAATACTCCTTTACGTCCATAGAATGAGTTTCTTGTTGGGTCAATTGACGGTGAGCATGTTGATTTTGCAGAATAGTAAATCCGTACTAATTAGGACACCAGTCGTCTACGGTGGTACTCAGCTACTTAACCTGAGTAGGCAGTCTGTGATACTTCTATTGTGATGTTCCCTACTCTTGGATCATTTTTCTTCGCAAACATAATCTTTGTGAAGAATTCTCCGCACACGCGCTTACCCTGGATATTCACCGCTTTGATTGATTGGACCTTTTGAAAAAAGTCACACTGCTTGCTACACTAACTTAAATAAACGTCAGATGACAAACTGTTCTGTATCACACGGAGTTCAATTTCTTGCGAAATGTACTTATGCGCAAGTTCAAATTGTGTGAAATCCATGGACGAATTAAGTGGCTTATTCACCCAGTTTACATTGGGACGTGCTAACCGATACGCTACTGAGACTCTGACCGACATGGTGCCGATACTCACTCACTCACTCATCACTCACTCACTCACTCACTCACTCACTCACTCACTCACTCACTCACTCACTCACTCACTCACTCACTCACTCACTCACCTCACTCCTCACTCACTCACTCACTCACTCACTCACTCACTCACTCACTCACTCACTCACTCACTCACTCACTCACTCACTCACTCACTCACTCACTCACTCACTCACTCACTCACTCACTCACTCACTCACTCACTCACTCACTCACTCACTCACTCACTCACTCACTCACTCACTCACTCAATCAATCAATCAATCAATCAATCAATCAATCAATTAATGACGAAGCACTTGCCGCTCGCGAGTTTAAAACTACCGCTTCCGATCACTGTAAGCTAGTTAATGTTCCCAGGGCAATCACGGTCTATGTGGTCAGAGGATTTGAGCGTGGCCTTGGTTTTAATGAAAATAAAACGTACTCTATCATTCTACCGCCCATATTTATTTTGAAAGCTTTGCGCCCCAAGATAGTGCATCAGATGGAATTACCTCTTCGCAATAGTCAGACCGATTTTTCTGGAATATACTGGATACCCAGGATGTAATTTCATCCAGTCAACCTAGTGTGCGACTAGTGAACAAATAGAAAACAGGGCATCTTCAAAGCGTTTTCTTGTGTCGAAACGCTCTAATAAAGGATCAAAATGTTCAGCGCGAGGCTGTCTTCTTTCTTCAATTCTGAATGGATTCTCTCCAGGGTGTAAGATTTGGAAAGTATTTAGCATCAAATTTTGCTTAAAATTATACTTCTACAAGCCACCACATGGATAATTAACTTATCGATGAATTCCAAATTCTCAACGGTCGATCTTGAAACGTCATACGATCAGAGCTAAGTCGATGACCGCGAAGATGATTGATCGCCACGTCAACGACTAGCCTTTCAAAAACTCGGCTTTTCGCCTTGACTGCATTGCAAGCTGTTACAAAAGCTGGTTGTTCTGTAGCTTACGCGTGCACTTCATGATGGCTGATTGAGAGAATAAAATGTTAGGATGAAAACGGAAACTAACAATCAACGTGAAGGCTAACTGCAGAACGTTCACAGTCGCTCCATTATTTTGGGAAAGCCTGAGCTATTGAAGAATGGACTAGACGAAACTGGACAAACCTACCTGCAGCGGCACCTCACTTTGAGGTTTGTTCTCGCCACAAAACATCCCTGTTATTGATTAGTGTGGTCGTGTTATATATGCTAGTGAATAGCTACTGAACTTTAGATATTCACTCAGGTTAATGGTGCTGCGCCATTACCACTTCGACGGACGCCCCCACAAACCAGTTCCGGTCTGTCTGAAGACAACCGAAGGAAATCACGTAAAATTGAATTAGGTGCCACAGTTCCCGGAAAAGCCTTCATAAGCTAGAAGCGCGAAAACAAGACACCTTTAGAATTAAAATAAACAGTGGTTTTTGCGGGAGACTCGGCTGAATCCAGACCAATCTATCATTCTTGGTGGTCTTCTGATGATCCCCAAGACAGGGAGGCCGGTCGTGTGCCTGTAGGAGCAACATGCTACATCTCCAATATCGTATCAACTGAATTATGAGGCAATCTGGTTCAGCACAGCCATTGGATGGAGACAAGGGTTTTGCTGGATTCGGTACGCCTTCTATTGAAGCTAAATTCCTGTGCAGATGACAGCGCTTGGCAAATTCCATCCAACTTCGATTAAAGTAAAGCATGAAAACGCGCGTGCTGCACCTACCACATGAGCGTTAAGAAGGATGAAGTTGGTGGTGGTTTTCATCAGCCTCATGAGTAATGTGTTGCATCTAAATGAAGCCCTAATTCCATCCGTAGGCAAACAAATAGGATCTGATGCAACCATGCGGCCACGCCAAGATACGGAGATTGAGATGACAGTTCTCTGCAAAAAATAACAAGTCGAATGCGGAGACACTTGACTGCTTCACGAGTTGTTGATGCGGTAATTAGTTGCGCCAATTTATACCTCATTTTCGTCTATTTCAGCCCAAACCAATGCAATCAGAAATATCTTCCCTGTTGTGACTTTGGTCGCAGTCGTCATTAGTTCCTTCTCATTTCTGTCTGTCTACCGTAAACTTGTTTTCATCTTCCACGATTACTAGATTTTATTGGTTTTTCTTCTGCTTTTTAAGTGTCCTGTTCGCAGTTTTTAATGCCTTATAATTCACCCTTCTGGAACTTGATTTCCTGATTTTGGTTTCATCATAAAAGTATTTTGTCGCCTGCTTGTGTTCTGTGCCAGGCTTAGTTCTTTAAACTGTTGGCGGCATTTATATTAGGGTCAAAATTATTTATCCATTTGATTCTGAATTTCATGCATTTCCCCTAAGTTTGGTCTCTATTTTAAAGTGTAGCCTTAGGCTTTGTAGCTCCATTCATCATGGTTGATAGACTAGGTTATTTTAATGCATGTTGACGGTCCAACATACTTCCATATATTCAGTTAGTTCCCGTGTTTTTGCCCCATACATAATTAATGCACTTTTCACAGTAGAACTTGTGTATTTTCTGATGTTATCACGCGAAGGCTGATGAAAATGGGCCTAGTTTCACGCCTGCAAGCTTTTGTTTACTTAAGCACAAGTATACTCACTACTCACTGCGAACAGATTCTTTGTAATTTCGATGGATAAACATTGGATTTCAGGGAACTGTGGCAGCAGTGAAACGGTACTATCAATTGTTCTGTTCCCGCATCATTCAGTACTAGTCTTTTATTGTTTGAGTGGACAGAATTCCCCGCAGACACCTGGTGTTATCAGTACCGTACAAGTCGCAAGTGATCGTAAGGTGTCAACTCTGATTTCCCGCAGATTAGAGCAAAAAGGTGACCGTTCCTAATTGCGCCAGTGAGAGATTACGGGAGTCGCAAAGTGCTCTCCATATAGGTTTGAACAATACCGAAGATGACATCGGTAAAACACAATATAAGAAGCGATC